CCAAAAAGAAGTTTGTAAAAAATGTTGGTCAAGAACTGAGATATTCGCTAATAACTCAATTATAAATTTGGCGACAGTGTGCCTATTTGATTCCACCTGAATGGTTGTTTTTACTAATATTTCCAATAATTTTTGACATGTTTTTGCCGAAGAAAAGTTGATGCAGCGGTGGAGCTGTAGAGTAGCTGTTACTCGTGAGGGACTATCCTCGAAAGTTCAAGATCAAGAAAAATCTGCGGGAAATCTTTGAGATGCTTTGGCTGCTTGGTTCTTGCCTGGTTCATCATACTAAACAAAAAGTTTCCACAAGGAGGGAAAACTCCATGCATGTCCGACATTGATATACATTTTCAGGACTGGAGACACATATTGGGTGGAGCGCTGACCATTTTGTCGATAAATATATGGCGGTCCCATCTGGCTGTTGTTGCCATATTTTATAAACAGTTTATTGAATCGTAATTTCTTCAAATGGAACTTTTGGGAATGTTAATAGTATCGCAATTTAAAAAATATTGACTGGTTATTTAAGCAGCATCAGAAGGACAACAATAAAAACACTTTCAGTAAACATTAGTTAAAGAATCGTGCATAAGTCATCCTTGAGGTGAAAACGACGTACTTCTTATGCATGTCCAGGACCGAGATAATGACTTGGCCTATTATAACTGAGGATTTGATTTATTAACGAGACCTCGTTGTGTCCACATTGAGGGCTTGTGGTGCGGTGTGTATTCTGACTCGCCGTGCTTTTTATCCCATTGAAAAGGGCGTGGGACTTTTTGCCAAAGTTGTTCAACGAAACCTCGTTCCGTCTTTGGTGACCACTTGCATTCTTATGGAAAAACGGCTGAATCGAGGCTTATGTCCTTTTCGTAATAAATTATCTTTTTTACATACTTTATAAGGTGGGTGCGATGACTAGTGTTTTGATAATGAGTGTATTTGGGGTTTGAACACGGTCTCGGGTGATAATGCGAGTCAAAAAAAAGTCGGAACGTCTTGATCATATGGTTATTTCTCTAGGTATGGTTGCTTTCGGTTTACTACTAGGCAAATTGAGCCAAAACGTACTAAAATGAGCAAATTTATATGTAAGAAGCTGATGAACAATAATGTGTATAAAATAATATAATACAATGTTCGACTAAGATCAACGTACATTTTATTGTTTCTCTATTATTGCGTCCAAAATCAAGGTCTTGATTGGGGATATTTAGAGAGTACAGAACAAGTAGTACGATATAATAATCCCCGCAAAAATCGAAATTTTCTCTCAAAACTAATTCATAAATTTACATAAATGTCTTGCAACCTAAAAATCACATTGTTTCCTTACCACGCAGTAAACGTTTGGTGCTTCATGCCTAAGTCTGCAAATATCACTCGTGAAACTGAATAACAGATACAGATAGTAAATAGGATTACCTGATCAGTTGAAACTGATCAATGTGTGATTTTGAGAATTTTCAATTGTGTTCTCCAAGTAATGATATGTCTTGTCTCGAGTCTTTAGGAGCGCAATTGAAAAACTAACCTCAAATGGGCTGTAACGGTGTTTGTCAACGAGTACCTGCGTGGATGCTGTTGTAATTTTTCATAAAATATCGCCATTAAACTACTTTAAACTATTGCTTCAACATTTTTTTGACACCTGTTCCGAACTTGTTAAGAGACAATAGTTAATTGCACGCTAATGCTAAGTTTTTAATCATTTCTCCATTGAAAAACATTTGCTAAAATCACCGTCGTGATAAATGTTCCCTCTTTGTAGCAATTTTCAGAAATTTCGATGACTGGTTTTACGCGTGGGCAGATGCTGGTTGGCCGCTCTACAAAAAACCGTGTAGACTCGTCTATTTTCAGGCCAGAATTCGTGTTATTTATGTATGTTTTGTGAAGAGCGGTAAAACGTAACTTTTCATCTTTCAAAGGCAATTAAAAATAACATTGATGTGAAATGTCTTCGACGTGTTTTGCTCTAATATATGTTTTTTTAACTAAGGAATGCGTACTTGTCTGGAATGGTTGTGCGTCTTCTAATGGAAACTCGTTATATAATACTAGAGGAATTTTACTGGGATTATCGTAACAGCGCTGTACCCACTAAGATATTAATAGGTTTTATTCGATTTAGGTTGACATTAAAAGGAAACAAGTTGATTGTTAATAATCATGTTTATTCAAAATTAGTGTTGACATTTTTGATTTTTTTCGCAAACGTTGAACAGCAAAACAATTGATCAACGAAGCTGGGCCGGAAATTTAGAAAGTAAGAGAGGCGCTGCTTCTGCTGTTGGATTTCTCGATCAAGAGCTGGATTTTCTGGAAGCACAAAGTGCAAGCGTCTTGGGGAGTTGGGACAGTTTCAACTTCAACGGTTGGGCGTTGAGCGGCTTCTACGCTTCCGGGCAAGCTGTTGAGCACTTCTTGGAGGAGGGCACGGACATATTTCACACAGGTGGGAGTAGCGTCGACTTCAGCGGGCAAGTTGGAGATATCAATGCTGTCGCCAGATTCGATTTCTGCAGGCAAGTTGGAAATGTCGATGCTTCCTTCACCTTCGATTTCAGCGGGCAAATTGGAGATTTCCACTTCGTTTTCGATTTCAGCAGGCAAGTTGGAGATTTCCACTTCGCTTTCGATTTCAGCAGGCAAGTTGGAGATTTCCACTTCACTTGCGATGTCAGCAGGCAAGTTGGAGATGTCGATGCTGCCTTCAGCTTCGATTTCAGCTGGCAAGTTGGAGATTTCTACTTCGCTTTCGATGTCAGATGGCAGGTTTGAAATTTCAATTTCTCCTTGAGACTCGATGTTGGCGGGCAAGTTGGAGATCTCTATTTCTCCTTGGATGTCAGCTGGCAGGTTGCTAATTTCCACTGTGCCTGGGAGGTCAGCGGCAAGAACTAGAAAAAATTAGCATTGGAAAACTGCATTTTGCATGGAAAAATATATTTACCTTGTGCCAGAGCAAGAGCAAACACGAAAATAACCTTCATCTTGATATCGGTCGAATAGTTTTTCAACGAACAAGCTGAACTGATGCTGATCCGCAACAATTCCAATTAATTTATACCTGTTCAAGAAGTCGGATCATTGACGTATATCAATGATAATGCGTTAGTTTAACCAATAAACCGCTTTATTGCCCTTTAATTCCGCACCCTTCATAAACTTTTACGTGGACATGGCGTGGTGAGAAAAAGATTATCCGGAATTAAAAACACAACTAAATGTGGCAAAGCCGGGCAATAAATTAGGGTAATACCGGTCATTGTTGGGCTACTAAGTCATAAATGTTTATCTTAATCAATGGATATCGATTTTTATTACTATCTTTTACAACTGTTTTATTTACATAGTACAAAGTTTGAAGGTCCATTACTCTAATTCATGTCTGAGAAAAATGTAAAATTTGCGTGATGTTGGGTAATTTTTATATTTAAAATTTTTATAAATTGATGCAACTGGTAAGTTGGTTTAAACGCTGTCATAAAATCAAATTGCACACAAATGCTGTAAATTATCTCATAAAAATAAAACATCAGGTTTCAACTGAAAAATATTAAAAATATTAAAAATATAGACGATTTTTCGGTAGCTGATTGATGAGTGTCTATAAAGACCTAGAGAAGCTGTAAGATTTTTTATATTGATTTTATGCAAAGTGATGAAAATCAGGAAATTAAATCCTCTAATTATCAAACATTAGTTTCGAATGCGGTCAATTTGAACATACATATTCGTTAAAGATTTTTGTGGAAGATTTAATCAATCGACAAAACTTGGTGGATAATGCAGCCACGTCTAGTTCAAGAAGTTTTCCTTTAGTGTATTTAGTGTATTGTCGTTTATTTTGCATAATTTATTTTTTTTTAATCAAATTATCACTAAATGCAATTAACAGAAAAATCATGCTTTTGTTTAGTACATTTTCTGATGCTTTAACATTAAGTGTTTAAACCAAAAAAATAAATATAGACAAGATTGTAATGTTATATGATCTGTAGAGTTATATGTGTGAGAAACCTATAGTTTAGTTAGCAATCTGACTAAAAAATTCCGTCCTGTTAAAACACATTTTTTTATCAGGTATTATGTATGTTACATCGATTCTATGTAACTTTTTAAGGCCCTTTCGATGCAATGTGGACAATAGACAGTTTTAAAACACACATAATTTTTGTTACTCGACTATTTTTGTTATTTAGTAGGTGACTTTCACTCATTTTTTTCTTGTCATTGTTTTTCCAGATTAGATGATATGAAGCAACAACTATTAACCATTTTTTTATTTCAAAATTATGATTATGTTGAGTACAAAATTATGCAACTTTGCTATCGTTTGGCCCATCTTGAAACGTTTACCATTTCCGATCATAAGACTCGAACTTTGAGCACCCTGCATATACGCGTTTATAGCAATTTAATGTATACATTTTAGTTCAAACATTTGGCTCATTATTACCGGGTTTTGAAGTTACAATAAAATTCACCGTCAAAGTAGAACAGAATTTATCACACCTTTTTACCATTAAGAGTACGGGGAACTCAATAATCAATTCTTTTAATACGATATTTTAATACATGCTATTTTTTCGGGTAAGTGATTGGCTAGTTTGTCTTCAGTTTAACGGGGAAATAACATAATCTGGTAAGTTGAATTTGATTTTCTAGATGTGGTTTCGTCTTTTACATTCCCATTTTATTACGATATAAACATATGTTCCCGATTTTATCTCTTAATTGCCGGATTCACTTATACCTTTTATATTTTGATTACACATCGGCCATAATTAACAACGGAAAATTAAATAAATACACGAAAGCACTAAACTAAAAAGGAAACAGGGAGATATAATTAATTAGGAAAAAAGTCGAGGCATCACCACGTTGCTTCACCATGAAGATAATTCAAAGAAGATTTGATGAATAAAATCGAGTCCTCTATCTATCAGCAGAGAACAAATGATAACTCAAAAATCTGAGTTATGAATCAAGCTTTTCTGTTATGAGTAAGCCGACGGCACTTGACACACTACATAGTGTAATTTCCATCATATCATGTCAGATGGTGATAACATCGTCATAAGTCTTTTGAGCAAACAGAAAATGCAGGAGAATAAATCAATACTTTCCAATGTAAAATCTCAAATCAAACCCCATACATTACTCTCTTAACGCGTATTGTGTTTGGATTCGACGAGCGGAGGCATACGCAAGCGAAATGTAATTTTCATGAAGAGTATCAGGCAACATATAAAATATTTGGCGGAAAGTTATAGTTATAAAATATGAAAAAAGTACATGTTCCAAAAACATAATGAAAAATTCAAGTTCTTCAAATTTTTAAGGATCTTTTTTGTGTGTTTTAAAGGAGGAATTAAATATATTGGTAGGATTCTTGTTTTGAAATTTAAATTCGTCTGAATAAGGAAACTTCAAAAATAACTAATTAGAGCCTAAAAAGCGTTAGAAGCAAAATCAATTTCAGAATCCCTCAAATTGGAATCAAGAGCACACAAATATATGAATTGAAACGGTAACAATTAAATAAGACTTTTATGAACATGCTTTTAAGTTCCACAATGTCTTAACAAGTTTCTTTAGTTGTCTTATTACTGTATTTTCTGTGTTCGAATTAATTTCTGTGTTTATTGTTGGATTTGTCTATGCTCTGGTCTATGCATTGCATATATGAACTCAGTTAGTAAAGACCTTTTAAGCTCCATTAAAACACCTTTCGAAGGCTTTCTTTAACATATGGACTTTTTGGATACAAATTTTACTTTCTTAATTTAGTCGAAAGTCGAATCAATTGGAAAATGTTTGTCGGTCGACTTTTTACAGTCACGACTTTACTTAGCGTCTATTTCGAAAACAGGGATTTTTCTTATTCAATCGGAAATTTTGGACTCGCATAAAACTTGATAGAATCTTTGTACGTTTTTACGCATTTACCCTCATTGTTTTTATTGCGGGCAACGGCAAAATCGCACATTTAATTTCTTTCTGGGGTTTTTGAAAAAAAATAATTACGAAATCCAGTTGGGAAAGAGTCGAAGAAAACCTAGAAGTTTTCGAGCAAAATACTTCCGATAAATAACCAAAAAGCTTCTTAGAGACAAAATTTGAGGGCTTCAACTTAGGTTAATTGGATGTGTACTGACCGTATCGCTTAAGCAGTATTTTTTTGTTTCTAAGGCTTAACAAAACGACAAATCCATTACAAATCGAGTAGAAAAAGCGTTTATGAACAATAGTTCACAGTTTCGGTGTCAGCTTTAACCATAAAGATTTATGTTCCTTCAAGGTTTTCGGTAAGCTCATTATATAGCGGCTCTTCTAAAAGAAATAACATTGTTAATTTCGGACTTATGGACTGGTTTCCATGAAAATAGAAAGTTTTGATACGCTATGATAAAACCTTCGCTTAGAATTCCGAATTGAGCGCTTGGATCTCCGCATTGTATCAGCTTCAAACAAAGAACCCCATCCGATGCATGTAACAGCTGTGCAACCGAATCCGCCGTGATTCGACCCCACGAACTTCTGAAATGACTCTATTTAGGGCCTTTCGAGTAGTTTCGTGTTATGATTAATGTAGGGCCGTCGCCCAGTATGTGTTTATACTATCCAGCCCTTTTGCTAGCACGCATCGCTGCGTCCGTATCAAAACTTTCGTTGCGGGAGCCCTTTCGACGGAACACGGTTTGCTTCAACGGAAAATTGGGGTGAGAGTTTGGCCAAAACGCGGTTTGTTTCTCATGATGCAATTGCTCAAGTTTTTTCTATCTGTTTCTCAATATTATCCAGATTTATTAAAATTGCTTCGATAATCCTCAACAATATAAGACGGGATTTTACGTATCTTCTGCTTTCTATTTCTTTTTGCGCCTTTTGGTGTGTTTTCAAAAATGTAGTTGATGATGATATTTTTTGTGTCTCACCCTCTTCCGCCTGTACTTTTGACCTGAATTGATCTCTTTTGTTCACCATAAGTTCGACCAGCATTTTGGGCCTTTTCAACCATAATAATCAATTTAAGGATGTTCACTTTCGGCAAATCCCTACAGATACAGTTAGTTGATTTCAACAGATGCTAAAACTATTACCGCCCGCTTTGATTCCTGAAACTGTCTTTGTAAGGAGAAATGCTGTTTCCAGAGCTAATGCCACTATAATGCAACAAAAGACCAGTCCCAATTTTGCTTTCTATTACTATTATCTGTCTCTCCTATTAACTTTTTACCGTTTTTTTTTCAGTCATCAGCTAATAAAACATATTATTAAACTGTCCACGGTTCAGATTAATTGGAATGCTTGTGCCGCAATTGATTCAAGTTACTATTACAGTTAATTGCTTCCGACTTTACTGACATAGATTGCTGTTGATGATAACGTTTATTCAAACGTCTTCAATAATCCTCATCAATAACTCACCTTATTTCCATTTCCTTTGCGTCTTTTGTCGCTGTGTCAAAAATTATGTTTCCAGGGCCATTATCTTTTTTCTGGTTTTTCCTTTACCACTGGAAAGTTTGAAGGGGTTCGTGATTCTGTTGGTTGGTTCTTTGCTCCTCCTTTGGAGACATCAGATGTATGCAAGTTTGATTTTTTAGACAGTTAATAATATTAATAAACACTGATGTTCAGATTAATTGGAATGTTTATGCCACGATTGATTTAAGTTATTACTGCAGTTAGTTGCTTTCGACATTCCTGCTATCAATTGCTGTTAATTAGTTTCTCTGAGTCCACATGTTTGTCTAATTTTGGAATAATTTGCAGGGTTCCTATTATTATAATTTATATTATTTATTCTGTGATTATTCTGCACCGCTTGTAACTATAGGTAGTTGACTTACTCTGATCACCTTTGCGTTTCTTTTTCTGTCCATAACGATTGTACGTGACATATTTTGTACTGTTTTATTATATTTTTTAATTTTCCACCATTGTTGACTGTACTGTACGTACTTTATGTTGTAGTATTTTGTTTTTTTACTCGCTTTGTCCATAAAACTTGTGAATTTTTCCGTGGCAATAAAGCATATTTTGATTGATTGATAATTTTTGAAATTTTGAGTAGTGATTTACAGTTCCAGGAGATAGTTTCTTAATAAACTCCAATTTTTATTTATCAGTGACATGTGAAGGCCAAGTTTGGAAACTTCCTATTTTTTGCACTTTGAGTCAGTGACGAACTGCAATCCAATTTGTTGAATTGTTTATTGTTTTAGATTGTTCAAATCTCTATCTGTCCATACACCTGCTTAATAGACATGTTAGCTAATTATCTAATAAGAACTGAAGTCTTTTTAAATTTTCGTATTCATTTAGATATTGTCTTCTATCTCTTTTACTGAGCCACGAAAATATTCGTTCTTTGATTGCCTCTTCTTAGGTTGCAAGAACAAGATAAAGTGAGCAGTTAGAACAATTTTAGCAACTTGTCCATCTACAGTGAATAATAGTCTTTAAATTAGGTTTACGTTTTAAATTTGGGTACCCGGGAAGGGTAAATTTGAGACCAAAGCCTTTGTTTAACTGGATTTAGTATTCTGCAAACTAAATTGATGAAACCATTGTTTAATTACCGACGAAACTCATATTGTGACATATCGTGAAACATCGTTTATTCTATTTTTAAAGTTTGTTATCAATAGGTTTTAGGAGAATTTATAAAGTGGCTAATTATCATTTATCGTTTATATCACTTCGCCCGTTCCTATGCCTCACTGGAAAAACGTTTAAGACTATCTGTGGTATAAATTTTGAATACGGATCTGAACATTGTTCCGTAATCTACAGGATGAAAAATAACATACACTTTTGTTATAAATATAAATAAACTTTGTCTTCTGAATATTGTTAAAAATTGACCACGGACCTAATTGTAAAAAATCGCGCTTTAAGTTTCACACAATTTCGAATCGTTGGCATTTATTAGTGGTTTGGCCTGCACAAAACTTGATGACAATTGGTTCAATTTTCAATTTATTATATTAGATCCCTATTTTAAAGTTTAAAATCTCCACGTGAACAGCTGATTTTGAGACATTTTAGACCAACAGGATCAATCGCTTCTTGTCTCACCATAGCTGAAACTTTTGGCGCCGATCTGTAAGTAAGGAGTGAAATTTGCGGAGGAAGTGGAGTTTTATCTGGGATCGTTTGGGAAATAGTGAAAGTCTTCATTTTGGTTTATAATAAATCTATATTAATTTCGCTAATATATGGGGCGACAACATCAGTGTCAAACCCATGACTCAAGCATAAAAGTTATACTGCAATGATGAGGCTGATATTATATTTAAATGGTAGGTGCATTATTAATGTTTTACAAAAACTCCTATTTGCTCTAGTAGTAAGTTTGACACTAATGTTGTGATTCAAATATTCTTATTATGTAATATGGTACAAAAATATAAGCCTAAAATTATGCTACTTAGAGTTGCTATCACAATATTCCATTACTACTTATACAGTAGTAGTATTTAACAATGCTAAATTAGAACAATAAATAATAAACTTTAAAAAAACCAACAGTAATAATGCACATTGTACATTTAAAAATCAGTTCAAGCGATGATCTAGCGGCTGATATTGAGAACAAAGATTTTTAATGTTGATTCACATCTTGTGCCAGATAAATCAGGGAAGAAAAGAAAAATACCAAGAAGCCAGACACACCCATACAGAACATCAAACACCAAAGCATTTATGTATTTTGCTTACTTTGTTAAAAAATACTAATAATAATTTCTCGCTTGTTAAGCTGATAATCTTTCGTTCACTGCACCATTTCAGGTACCAATCAAGGAGTTTCTTCGCTGGTTTCCCTGTCACAAGATACGAAACAAAATTATTCGTTCTCAATATCACATGGCAGATCATCGTTTGAACTCCTTATAAAATGTATAATTTTAAGACACAACTTTGACAATGACTCTGATGACAATGACTCATTACCTGGGTTCTGAATTCAATTTTATAACTAAATATTTTTACTCAAATAATCTTTAACAGTAGTTTTCGCCCCTGTATCGAACAACATTTTTTATTCGAATGAAAGACGTAACACGAAACATAAGTTACTCCTTACTTCATATTTTGATAAATTTGATGTCAATGTCATTTTTGACGTTTCAAATCGTTTTCAATCGACAAGTGAAACAGTGAGTATTGAAAATTCAAGTGCTGCTTTCACGCTATGGTGTTTCTATAAGTTGCATATTTTGCATGAAATTTGCGTTATTTAAAGAGATCGTGCTTTGCGTGTGGCAACATCGGCGAGCGCAAAAAAAATTGGTCATTAGAACGTCTTTGAGACTGAACTTGTAACAAAGTTATAATTTACAAATTGTAAGTAAACTTTAAATTATGCAGCATGCAAACAAGCTATTTAGCATTAGTTGTCGATAAATAATGAAATCATTAAAAAAGCATGTCGATTACTTTTTAATGAAAATATTTGAAAAAATATAATGACAGTGATACGTTTAATTTGTCACCTTTACTTTTGCGAACAGGCGCGTAAAAGTCCGTGCGCAAAAGCAAAACAAATAAACGGGCTCCTTTTCGATCATCGCTTCTGATCGAAAAATGGTTTTAGTTTTTAGTTTTAGACTCATTCGAATAAAAAATAATATTCGTTATAGTCCTAGATAAAATATTCTACGTAACACGTAGGACATTATATTATTAACGCACTTATGTGATTAGACGACTCGGCCTCCATCCTCGTCTTGCAAATCTTCACATGCGTGCGTTAATAATCTTACTGGTTACGTAAATCACTATTAAGCTGGTTAATTTTTCTCACCGTTTTTAACCGTCGCGACATAATACTACCAACTCATTTGGATTTTCGTATCTGTCAGCAGTGTTTTCTCGATTCCTCGGTCAAACCTCACGTAAGGTCGCAACTGAACATTTAATAAGGCCGCCAAAACACTTTAGATGTGGGTCGGTGCGACACTTTCGGTTTGCTCGTAATATCGTCCACTTGTGTGTTTTTATCTGTTTGCTTTTCGAAATGTTGATCTTTACTGGAAACTGAACTTTTTTCGTTCGTTATTTTGGCATCTACTGATGCTTTCGACGTTAAACTAGCCGGTTTAATTGGCACAAATGCTGACTTTACCACATCAATGTCCTCATCTTCCGAAACTTCCGGAGAGGTCTTGAGCGATTCCGCATCCCGATTTTTGCCTGACATTTGGTCCAAACACCATTCCTTCGAATGAGCACTCAAGATGTGTCTTTCATCTAATAAGAACGGCGACTTTAGATCCAATCCTGTTGCGAAATTAGGCGGCGGCGGAAACCTTGCTGGCAGGTAGTTTGCCATCGACATGTAAAAGTCCAACCCTGCAAACAAACGCCACAATTAAAATATAGTAATTAAAATGGGAGAAAGGCCGCCATATGTGAACCGAAATTAAATATTCTTTTGATCTCGGATTTTAATCAAAGTGGGCTTGATTTAAAAGCCGTATTTGAGTGAATAGATCGAGATGAATTGGTCGCCAACGGATATACAAAAAGGGACTTTTCGTGATGGGTTTTGTTGGCTCAGCTTTACTTATGTAATACGTTTGACTACGTGCATGGCACAATAAATTAAAAATTGTGTAGGTTCTCATTTAATATGAACATTTCTTTTTTTGTAATTGAAAATTTCAGTGGAGTTCAACAATCAATGAAATGGAGTAATTTTTTGCGATTTTTGTGTCTTCAAATGCGGTGGTTAAGAGATTTTTAGCTTCAGAAGGCGTATCTGATCGATTTTGGTTTTATGAAAAAAATAAGACACGAAAATGAAGCAGGGCAACAGTTTTATTCGCTCATTATAAACAAAAATTTTAGTAAAACTTGTTTTCACCGCGTGACTTCTGATTCAAAAAAATTGCATCCATTAAATTTTGGCATAGTAGTTAGACACGTACCTTTGCCAGTAGTTGGAGGAACGGGACTTGCACTTATCGTAGGACTATTTTGCCTCATATAGTCATAGCTGAAATATGCAGGATCCATCCATTGAGAACTTAAAAGGAATGGGGAGAAACAATTGGGCATGTTAAAGCCACATCCATATTGAAACGCTGCAACAAAGAAAAAACAAATTTAATAAAAGTGAAAAAGTAATTGCTTAACGACACCCACAAAATGGCTTTCGGGTGAGAAAATAGATCGAGCCGTGGGCTGGTGTAAACCATGTTAATGTGCAAATGTTTAATAAACAACCAGAACAATACTGTTAAACTCAACATAAACATGTTCGTAGGATATAAACAAATAAAAGTTTTAATAGTTTGGTGGGTTTTGTCGGCGTATAAAGTTCAGTCAACAAACGTAAAATATTTTATGTTTATTTTAATCGGAGTTTAACTGGCTGGTAGCATGTGTGCGCTTGGCGTTTAGTCGATTTACTGTCGATATTAACATTTGCTGTTCAAGCCTTTTTCTAAACTCCTTTTCATGTTTCAAGTTCTGATCTGATAGGATTTTTATTTTCAGTTGATTTATTTTTTGTATTTGTAGGAAATCAGTAAATGTATATATCTGGGAAAATGCTCCATGAATTAAAATTGTTTATCCTGAATTCAAAGGACCGATTGGTTTTTTAGGCCCAAAACTCTTTCGCGTGAAAACAGGTTGCTAGACATTTTCTAGTGGCTAGTGATTTGAATATAATTTACAAAAACCGCCAATTGCTCGGGATATTTTCTAAAGAAACAAGTTGGAAGTTGAAATGGTTAAACGCATGCTTGACGGAGATCATTCCAAACATGTGCGCCATGTTTTTAGGTAAAATAGGTACCTATTACATATATTTTTTTAAATGAAATTTTTTTTTCAAATTTAATTAAAACGAGGCGTTAAATAAAAAAGCCGGAAAAAGTAAATACGTGTCTGATTTGCTTAGGTGGGTACCTATACTTAAAAGAATATATCAGATTGCATCTGAAGATTTTTTAGTAACGTGCGGACGTGACATACAACAATTCATGCGAAACATTACAAATAACCTTCAGTATTCAGAACTTGTAAGTAGTTCCCCGTTGTAATTTGCCATTGAAATCCATACTTTGATCCAGGATTGAATGCATGCAGTTTATGAAAGGGCCTATGCAAATCTAGGATTCAACCTATAAGTTCCAAATACTTACTTGATTTACTTCTGGGTTCCCGCGGGCCATCCACAGTGACTTTGATCGCCTTGTTGTATGTGGCCACTTGAACACAGTCAGGCGAATTCACGGTGATGCTAACGGTGAGAAACTTTCCTCTTCCACTCCTCCCGACAAACCTCAAATCGCTAAACTTGGCCACTTGATTTTTGGTCGTTGCCGTATAGTTTTTTAGTTCCGCACAGCTGTTTTCGTCGTTTCCGGCTTGCACGGTCACAACAGTACCATCGGGTACATCTTGCAGCAAAACCACTTTAAAAGAAAGTGGTAAGCTTTTGTTGGATCTCCAGTGAGTCGGTAGCACCGAGCATAGTACCGATGGACAACCGGTAGATACCAACTCACCATGGAACTCCTGCAATACGCTCAGATATTGGGCCGAAAGTTCTGCCACCATATCAGGATAAATGCTCATATGTGCCTTTGTATGACGCATAGTGAATACCGAATAGTTGACCAAAGACTGAGAAGACTGATAATGAAAAAGAGCTGAATGAAGCAACCGCAAACTTTCGAACTACACGTGACGCGCGTTCCAGACGAACTAAACTTCTTTACAAGTGTCAAGTCGGTTACAAACAAGTCACTCACGGCGAATTCCCTCACTTGGACTGAGTCTAACCGATTTTTTCCATGCACGGCCCTTACCCTATTTTCGGGATCTCCCCACCCCCTAGCACTCATAAAGGAGGGCAGTTTTTAAATACGAGAGTGTGATTTGTCCTCTTACAATAGACGGCACGAGAGAGACGCATAGAGTCTTTGGCACTTTTATAATCGGAGCGAGCAACAGAGACGGACCTAGAAGCATGAGCGAGATGAAGCTTTATTGACGAGCTCAGAGAAAAATAGAGCTGCTAATGAATGAAAGTGAGACGTATGCATGTTTTAAATTTTGAAGCAGATCAAAGCACGGCCGCTCGTTTGTTGAAGTGAGATATGCTCTTTGGTCGAGTTAAATGTGTGGAGTAGTCAGATACGGATTAATGGCTAGTTTGACCCTTTGTCACGAAGACTTTTAGGAGCCATCAATTCTCTTAGAAGACAAAGTCATACTAACTTGCAACTTCAAAGGGCAGTGCTGGGATTTTTACACAGCAATTTGGCAAAACTTGATAAATATAACTGATTCCAAATGGCAATAACGAGACTATTGAACAAAAAATCCAATAACATTCCTACTTTTTCCTGCAACTCGGACAACATGGTAAAGGACAAACTTTTGTCCCTTTCAATTTTAACTTGCACATACAGAGACTAGATTTTTTCTTTTATGCAAGCAAAATCAGCAACATCTAATTGAATTGGCTGATAAAATTTTTCCGTTTGATTCATTGTAAATTGTGTAGGTACTCAAAACGTGCAGGAAGTATCTGTTTTTCTTAGAATTAGTCACACTTGTCGGTCCCTCTAAGCGTTTGTCTTGAAGAAACAAAGACTTTCAAGGTTTGTTGTGAAGGCTAGTCTTCTTTAGCGATGTTATTGTCAAGTGCGGCTTGCTTTGAACCGAGCCACCCGCACTCGGGCCTTTCCATGGTACTGTTTATGTCTATTAGGTAGAGGTGTTTTGTGTTGAATTAACGTCTTTGTTGCTTCTTCTTCGCATAATGCCTATTCAAATAGCTATTATGGTGGCACATTTTGAAAAATTGTGAATTAATGACAATTCGAATTACTAAGGGAAATCATCCTTAAGTCGGTTCTGTTGCTGGCCAACCAATTTAAAAAGTGACAGAAAAACGCAACTCCATCAAGCAAGACAGAGAGAGGCTAGACAGCTCCGTTACGATATAAAAAGCCGGGAGTTAGAAAAAGACAACCAAATGAGACCCTCAGAAATTACAGAGAGAGACGGTATATAGCCAATCCGACGTGGTTTTTGAGGCTTCGACGCGGTTAGTCCCACCCTCAACGCCCAAAGGCCCCTTACTCCCACTACTCGCACCGATATTCAGTTATTTTCCGAAATAACTGACGGGAGTCGGAAGCGCCAAGAAGTTCAGTCCAGAGCCACCGTCAGCTGTGGACTGTTTACGTTAAAAGGCGCATATTGAACGTTTACAATTTGGGATCTTGCGATTAATAAAAAAAAATCAAAGTTGATAATTTTGTAAGCGAATACGAAAACTTCTTAACAAATTTTTATGATGTTTGCTGCAGAAATCTAGAGGTTTCTTAACTGTTCCAAAGGATTTGTAGTATTTTTCTTCTTACTTTCTTACTGGACCTTTTAAAAATACATTAATGTTTTGCTTTCGCACATATTAATGGATTTCTACATGCATTCGATTCCGAGCTGATTTATTCATCAATTTACCGAACTGAAACCATTGAAATCGTCGTTACCTCAAACCGAAAATCAACGAGCATATTTATATTGTGAGGGAAGCGGAGCGAGAGAGATGGATATCAGAGCTCGCAATCAATTTATTTAAAAAGCTACTAAAATCCGATTTGTCCGTGTTCTGTACGCATTTCAAATATTAAATTCCGAATAAATGTTATATAATAAATCAATATTGAACTAATATTCAACGTTACATTTGGGTGCGAAACATAGGCTGCGATAGACACTTTCCGTAATTCGCATTATGCACGCTTTCCGGAATTTGTTAAATTATTTTATCTGGCGCTAAAATTAAGTCATTCGATTTTCTGGTCAATGCCTCTATTTTATTAGCGAAATAATACAATTTCATGAGCCTAATAATAATCAAAGATTGTATAGGATTTATGCGTAGGTTGGGTTTCATGCTGGTATATTTTAATTAAAAAGTGATCAAAAAGAAATATCTAGCTGCGAAGTGAATTTGTCGTTCTTTACATGTAAAGTTCTCAATTTTTATCACAGAACGTGGTATTTTGAATACATCTGGTTGAATTTGCGCCGTAATCGTCACGCAACTGCTACTTTTAGAACAATGTTTTTTCTTAACTCGTTCCTAATCCACTGTAAATAGAGCAAAGCAAACTTCGACATCAAAAAGGATGCAAAGCTGGAAATCTTCTCTAAAGTGTAAAATAAATGGCATCGTATAGGTTGGGAACGATTCCAGAGCTGAATCCAACTTGGCGCGATTTCTGGTAAGCCAAAAGCCAGGATCAAGATTGGGCCGACGATATACGACGAGATTTCGCAGACGATGCAGTGTCGATATTCCCGAAGGCGGATTTTATCGGGACGTTTTTATCGCCTTCGGATATGGCACATTAAACTGCTTAATGAATATTCTATTTTCATTCAAACCAATGTTTCCAAGCGTAGTGGGTTATACATTATATAAAAAATACTAACCGACACCCTACACTGAGAGGCACAAAATACGCAGTCAGCAATCATTACTTTAAATCTTTGGCACATATAAAAATACTTCTGTGCATTTTGCGTTTGATAAAACGAAAGTTTTCTAAACGTAGTCCAAAAGAAGGGTAGCATATTTTTCCCAGTTTTGATCGCATATATTTTTTCAAGGTCCTACTGGATTTTTCCCTTGTTTGCTAATTTTGACCCAACACATAAAATTTGATTGTTTGTTAAAACTTTATATAGAAGTTTTATGAACGTTTTTATATTTCGGTTAGCGAAAACAATCACAACTGTTCCTATTTTTGGGCATCTAGGTTACCAAACCACCTATGCAAGTAAATTATTTGCCTTCGGGTTCGACAAAACAAAAAGTTCTATAAAAGTGGTATTTTTTCTGTTTTCATTCTTCAAGTGCTCACAAACCAGAAATTATTCCTGGTTTAGACTATGAGCGGTGAAAGGCAAATCCAAAAAGATCCGACAACCAGATTGCTAACATTCATTAGGCTGGATAATAATAACGGTAAGAGTCCTATTTACATTGTTGTCCTTAAATGCATAAAAGAATAAGGTTGAGGGTTGCCTCAGCGCGGTATGCATAAAGAACAGTAGCGCTTTACAGAGATCAAGTAGTCGCGATAATAAACTGGATTGTTTTTACAACAGTGCTTCTCAAAAGTTTGCCGAATATTTCGTAAAAAAATCTCACGGGAATAATCTACAAAAATTGCGTGTAAGATGACAAGGAATATGCAATGTTGAATTGAAGATGTTCATAATATTACGTCTTTAAAATAGTCGCGGAAAAATAAATAGTTTGTTCTTGAAACCAAAGTTAATTTTAGAAGAAATTACCGTGTTTTCCGGCACGAAAAATGAAACATGATGTTTCCAATTCGCTTGCAAAATGAATGTAGCAAATGCTTATTTGCGAGTTTGCATGTGTTCTAAATACACAATTATACCAACTTTTAGGGAGTATTTCTAATGCAAAATTTACGCTTATTTTATAGACACACTCACTAAGATATTAGTTAGTACAGTTTTCAGGCCTGTTAACAAAGTAAGAAACATTAGAGCATTTTCGCATATTAATGCAAATCACAATTGTTTAGTTTTACATCAATAACATTTAAAAATGGTAAAGTTATTTATATTTTTCGAATGTTTAGGAATATTTTTTAATTGAAGGTGTTCGCGCACAGACAGAAATTTTATGCTCTTGAATATAATTCGGTAATTTTTAAATGCACTGTCGATCGCCTTTTGTATTAAGGAATGCTCATTCAAGTGGATCTCACCTGTTTTTGGCTTTTTTTATTTTTCCCTTAATATTTATTTGTTATCCTATCAACATCTAGCTAAAATTATCATTTGGTAGAATCTTATGAGAAATTTCTTGTAAACATTAAAAGGAATCAGTCCAACATGATTCGTTATGTCATATTTGTTTGTATACTTTTTAGTTTTGTTGCTTTTTGCACAAATTTTCAAAAGTTTTACTGAATAACATTGAACTAAACTTACAAACTCTAAAATGTATTGCTTTGAGGTATGATGAATTTTGAGTGTGCTTTACGGGATAAAATGTATTGGGAATAAACGGACCAGAAAAGCTCCATTCAGTTTGCTGCTCTAAACAACAAGATAGACAAGTTGACAGAAATACAGTAGAAAAAACAGATATTTTACAGAACAATAAGCATTAAAAATTTACCTAAATATCAATTAATATTCGTAGGTTCGGAAGTGTAATTTTAATTAGAAGCATTTGATCAAACATTTAATAAACCATAGTTAAGAAATGCAAGTGAGTGAGTGAAAAATAAAATAGAATTTTTACAGAATAATAATCCCAGATTTTTTGGAGTTCCTATGCCTGTTTGAGAACCACAGCCACAATTCGCAATAGAATAGCTAAGGATGTTCTCAGATAAATGTGCAGAGATAAGTTGGTAGTTTAGTATAACAATGCGGCCGTATCACGTGGGTTTGTGTCTCCCTCCATTGATCTCTCGATTACCATCCGTATTCGGAATTGATTCATTTTGGTACACCGATGGCTTTATTTCAATATATATCTGATGGAAAATACGCAAACTACTATCGAAATCCATAATATCCAAATTTTATGAATGTCCATATTCGTGGTCTTTTGTGAGCATGTTCCTATATATATTTTGCTCAATTATTCCAAAATTTTCGCTTAACTATACTTCCAAGCGTAAAAAGAATTCTCGGTTTCAAAGTGCATCAACCATATTGAACGAAATTGAACATAAGTTACGGAATTTTTACGTTACGGAAAGTTTTTCACAGGAATTAAAACAATTTATATTTTTGAACTATTTGTAGATCCAAGTGTAACTGATACTCAATCATTTATCTTGCTAGAATGGAAGAAATTATTTCCTCTAAATTGAACTCGCAAAGCCCTCGACTTGCCTTCTTTGCACAATGCCCAGAAAATAAATAAATGTCCCAGACTGAAAGCCGCTTAAATAAAAATAGGAAAAGATTTGTCGTTATTTTTGTGCTCGGATTAAATGTATCGAACAACTTGCCGTCAATGGGACAATGGGAAATTTTGAGAACTCTTGAGTCAAGAGGAACGACAATCGAAGAATAGAAAGAAGCAAAACTTGGTTGGCTGTTGCTGGTGTGTTGTGTGGGCACGATGAAGCGGAAAATGTCAGAGGGTTTGGATCTATATCTTCTCGTAATGAATGCCAAACTTTCTTCAATAAATTCTTCGTATTCCATTAGGAAATTGCAAAAAGCAACCAACTGTTTTTTCCAATCACTGCAGTGCAAAAAACTGGTATTAAAACAAAAGAAGCGTTAACTTGTTCCACTTGAGGAACTTTCAAGAAAAGCGCCACTCTTTTGTTGTCCCCAAGCCAGTGGGGAGCAGCGATGTTTCACTTTTGCGCCACGGGAGGTCCTGATTGTTTACGTTAATTGAAATGGCGGGAGCATTAAGAAAATTACGAGCATGCTTAAACTGGAATTTGTGTGTTTAGCCCGGGTTTTATCGGTGATTATATCCGCTTTATAGGGCAACATCCAGGGGCACTTGAATTACATTTTTATTCGAATGAATCAAAAAGTGTCATTTTGCGAACAGAAGCGAT